GTGGTAAGCAGCAGACATGACGCGCCGCAGAACTCACAGCAAACCGGGTCCGCTGCCAGAGGCGCAGCCATGGACCGGGAAGTACAAGAAAGTTGGGACGAGCGAGAGCTCGTTCCCCCTGGGCAGCCGCATCTTTTTGTTCTGAGACGGGCGCCCGCGTCACAGCAGTGTGCTTCCAAAGCTTACTGCCATTTAACGTGGGTGTGCACGGGCGTCACCCTTGGGTGCAGCAAACCTTGAGCAATGGGGTCCTTCATCGAGAAGCTTTAATGTCGCAAATTCGGTCAGTCAGAGGGCTCTGCGAGGAGGCAAAGCCATGCAAGCACTGCCGCAAAATCGTTCGTCACACGGTTACCGTGTAGCATGCAGTTCATGACGATGCCCCTAATGTAGAAAGGATTCAATGGGGCAGAATATGGTTTGATCCCGCAGGTATTTCCCACCCGTCGTTGGAAGCATCGATACCCAGCTGTCTGCACAGGGCCTCCTCAGAGCTCCTAGCCCATTCTAACTAGGCTGAATTGTTCCTTTGGGTTTGGGAGAAGAGCAGGAAGGGGCGCAAACATGGGATATCTGATCCTGATGGTCTCCAGAAGGGTCCTGGCAAGGCATCTACACCCCCCCTGAGGCAAGCCTTAGCAACCGAAGAGATTCATACACCATCTGAGTCGAGTCCTTGCAGCAAATTTTCGGAGTGACCGCCCTTACGTAGCCCCTTCACTCGCATGCTGCCCAGCCATTGCTGCAACTGAGGCACATGAGCAGCAAAGAGGGTGGTGGGTTTGAGTGCATTACCTCGAAACTAACACGGATTGATGACGTGTGCCCTGATGTATTGCTCCGCTAATTTCTTCAAACATGGCAGCGTTCATGCGCTAACTCCCTCAAGTATGACAGTCGGAAGCCCGTACCTCCAAGCTAGTTTCAATGAGCTAACCGTGGTGCGTAAGAGCGGATTCTCTAGATCCTCCTCCTCCTCATCCTGCCGGGCTGTTTAGTCCAGCCCGCGGCGGTGCCGACACCGTTATTTGGGCTGACACTGGTGAGTTGTCCGATTAGAATTCTGGCAGGAGCCACAAATCCCCTTGCCTACTGGCCCACGCGTCCTTCAGGATGCTTGGCCATCTTGCGTGTGCAGTTGGGCACCGTTGCCATTTTTTCCGTACCCTTTTCTGGAGTCCAAAGGGCCGTGGAGGTCGGGGGCGGCCTCACAAACCAACCCCACGCTGTGAAGAGGTCATTCGATGTTCGTTTGGGGGACCATCCTTGAACCCACCTAGCGGATCTATTCAACTTTAGCTCGACTCGAGCTCGACTCAAGCTCGACTCAAGGCGACGAAGGTTCGACGCAGACACAAATGCCTGCCCCGCGTGCCGTGGGAAGGAAGGTACGGGGGCACCAGGGCCCGCTCCCCGGCCCAGGGTAACGCCGCTCCCCAGACGTGGGGGTGCGACGCCCCGAGCGTCGCCTCGACGCGCGTCGCGGCGACGCCCGAGACGCCAGGGTTGCGCGAAGAACCCGACGCCAGACCGTGGCCTTGGCGGCTCGGGTGGCGCCCACAGGCAACCCGTGTAGTAAGGATGCGCGATAAGGGTGCAAGGGCCTTGGACGCCCATTCCGAAGCCTTTTGAGCGGGGCGCGGCCAAGGACAGTGGCCAAGGATGGGCCGAGGAGGCTAGGATGCAAGGGTACCCTTGGGTAGGTTGCCCATCCTCACTTTGCGGGTTGACTGTGCCCGTGAATCGCATCCCCCCCCCCGCTGCATGTGCCTGCAGGGGTCAGGCAAGGCACGAAGCCGCGTGGACCTCCCAGGCGGAGGCTGCCCCGACTGGCTGCGGCTTGCTGCGCCGCCGTGATTTCTGAGTCGGAGGCAGATTCGCTGCTCGAAGACTCGTCCGAATGCGCCTGCGGACGACGCGCGCATGGTGGACCGCCCGGCAGCGGGGCGCAGCACACCTCCAGTTGAGCGCCAGACTGGAGGTCTTGAGCATTCATGCATTGCAGAAGCGCGGGCGAACCCCATTGCGTGGCGTTAAGAATCTCCCTAAGGCGACTGCCGCCTTCAAGCATATCCTGCAAACTCGCCCGAGCGGAGCGCGCGGGCCCGCGCGCTGCCCGAACCTGCGCGTGGCCGCGGCGCAGGTCGTGTGTCCGATGCAACTGTGCCTCGGGAACTGACAGCATGCTTAGGATCCGCCGTAATGACCGCAGCGCCCTGTCTGGCGTCAAGCGGGGGAACAACCTGTTGCTCCGCTCGCACTTTGCTGCGAGCGTCGCAAAGACATGGGCCAGGCAGATGTCTGGCTGCTCTGCGCACCAGCAGCCGCGAACCAGCTCAGTGCCCGACAGCATGTTCTTTCTGTTGGCCAAACGCAGCCGCAGTTTCTCAACGGCGACGTAAGGACAGGACTGCACTCCGCCCACCAGCTCGGCCGCGCCTCACATGCATGGGGTTGCCTCCGACGGGGCGCGCAGCAGGAATATGTAAGCCATTGAGAACAAAACTTACGTTTCTCGCAATTCAACACGCAGCCGCGCACGGCGGATCAGACGGCAGCGTAGAGACGGGCCACCCCCGCCTACACCGCTGCCTGGCCAAGAGGCCAGCGGCCGCACAGTGGCGGACCGCGGACGAGAGAGCGCGGGATGCCAGAGGCGGCAGACGCCCGAGCAGAGCAGCACCAGCACCCCGCCCCGTCCCACGGCCCAGAACCCCCTGGACCCTCCCCCCCCGCCCCAAGGACGAGGTGAGGGCAGGGGAGCAGGGCAGACGCAGGAGCAGCACTCGTGCCAGCACACAAGCGCTGCGATAGTGCGAGCACTGTCCCCGTTTCTGTGTGCTCGTATCGATGCATGAGCGGAGCGATTGGCTCCAGCAAGGTCCCCAGAACGAGCATTTTAACCTCTCCACTGGAGGTTTTCGAAGGTTGTTCCGGCCTCCGTGGGCCCTTGCCGGGCCTTGGGGTCGTCAAAATTGTGTAGTATGAGTCAAGGGAGGGAAAAGTACGCCGACCCCCACAACCGGCGTTGACTAAGCAGCATTGGGCGTGTACTGCGCAGCCTTGCCCCCTTCGATCCCTCCCCTGGGTGCGTTTGCTGAAGGCTTCGCCCCTCGGGGTGCTTCTTATGCGGGCTGCTCTTCTGCCCTCTGACGGAAGGCCAGTCCCGGGGCACGCGCCGAGACTTCCGTGGGCCCTCGCTGTCAAAGAGCCACGGCGCCGGAGGTCCCCGGGCCCTAACGGACCCCTGGCGAACCGACCCACTCCGTGACGATCCCCTCCGTCCCTCGCTCCAGAGCGTGGGCAGGCGGCCAGAGTCGGGCGGGGCCAGGACCGTGGTGTTGCTCGTCCTGGAGCGCTCCAGAACGCGGCTCTCGCAGCGTTTCCCGAGGCGCTCGGAGCAGGCCGCGGGGCCCGAGGTTCACCACCCACCAAACCACCCCAACCCAACCCGAAGGCTCAGATTTACCCTCGATTTCCATCGGCGTCACCCCAACATACTTATACTATATGTGCGTCGCCCCCCCAGGGGCGGCGCGCGCACCGAGAAATCTTATAGTATATGCGTCGTGGCGTGCGCTTTCTGGCCACATCGCTCGGGAAACGATATACTACAAGACGGGTATACTATATGTTCGGGTCGGACGCTCGCCTCCAAGGAGGACATATAGTACTAGTATGTCTCTGTGCCTCCCATTCCAGTGGGGGGGGGGGCGGGGAACATCGAAAAAACACATGTGGAACCCTTACCCCCCCCAACCCGACATTCGGGTCTTCGGGTTGGGTTGGGGTGGTCTGGTAGGTAGCCAGAGGTGTCCTGGTCCGATGTTGTCCCTGTCCCCGCCTCGTTTTGCAGAGGGGGCCCTGGCCCTCGCCCTGTCCCGTCGCAGAGAGGGTCGGCGCAGAAGGGGCCGGCCTGTCCGCGCCCTGCAGGAGGGCGCGCCGCTGGCGGAGGGCACGCTCGACGGGGTGCTGGCCTTTTGGGGTGCTGCGAGAGGTGGCCCTGGCCCAAGATTATCTGGGCTTCCCGGAGGGGGTCGGAGTATTTACTCCAGATTTCGTAATAAAGGGAGGGGGATCTCATTTCGGGGGGGGTCTCTTCCAGGCTATCTTGGAGGGCCTGGGGGAGTCTGGGGACGATGTTTTGGAGGGTTCTCCCACGGGGGGGGTCTAAAACTTCTCGTCTGGGAGGGTTGAGACCCTCTCCCTTTTATTACGAAATCTGGAGTAGGCGTGGTCGGCGAATCGCGCCGCGTCGCCGATGCATCGACGGTGCGGCTCTCGATGCGGAGACCGTGTCTCCACAAGCCGACGTCGCCGATGAATCGCCGTCGTCGCCGATGCATTGGCGCGGCTCGATCGTTCGACTCGGATCCCATCTAGGAGGCCTCTAAAGAGTCGGGCGAAGAGAACTGTGCACATGCACCGGTCCTGGCCAGGCCCATCCTCGGCCCCAGGATCGGTGCATAGGCTTTCCTTGCCAAGGCAGGAGGGCCTATGCACCGATCTTGGGCTCAGGATGGGCCTGGCCAGAATCGGTGTATGTGCGTGGTTCTTCTTCCTCTATCTAGGAGGCCTCTAAAGAGGCCCCCAGCTGGTCGCACCGTCGGGGAGCCACTGGGGCCCCCTGGGACTCGTGGGGGGCGCTCTGGACGTACCTCTGCCGCGTGCGCGTCGGCCCCGCAGGGGCGGCGCGCACTCTCGGACCCCCTGCAGCAGAAGACCTCTGGAGGAAAAGGAGGAGGAGGAGGAGGAGGAGGAGGAGGAGGAGGAGGAGGAGGAGGAGGAGGAGGAGGAGGAGGGGGAGGAGGAGGAGGAGGAGGAGGCCTGCTGGCCATATACCGCTCGGGACGCGATATGCTGAAAGATTTGTATCCTATGCGTTTGTGCCCGATGTGCGCCTCCAGCCTAAAAAAGCATCGTGCTCGCGTGGCTTCCGCGCCCCGCTGGAGGCCGCTGTGGCCTCGCAGGAAATCCTGACTGGGGGGCCCCTGGGCCAGGGGACATGCCTTTGGCAGCGCCTGGCGCCTCTGGTTCGGACCGGCGTTCTTCGAGGAGCCCTCCCAGCTCGACGACTTCGAGTACGTCCGGGGGCGCACCAAGAAGTGGTACCGGGGAGGGCCGGAGATGGACGCCGCCGCCGGTCGCTTCCTGCCGCTGCTGCGCGCCGAGCGGGCGGCCGTGGAGGCGGCGCCGAGGCCGCTGGTCGCGCAGGGGGAGCTCGGCGAGAGGGCGGCGCTGGCCCGGGTGGTGCTGTTTGACCAGGTATCTCGGGGGCGTCCCAAGAGGGGGGCGAGGACCAGGGGAGTGCGGACACCGCGGCTGGGGCCACGAGGTCGCCGAGACTTCGTGGCCCCCCTTCTCGAGGAGGGGGGCCGCGCACCTGGAGGAAGAGAGTTCTCCTTCTTCAGGTAATTACGCTCCCCCTGGCCCCCCCTCGTCCGCGCACGTGCCTCGGGCCATGATTTGCTGCCCCCCCTCTTCTCGGCGTCGCGCCAAGGGTGAGGTGAGAGGAGGCAGGCCTGCTGGCCTGCTCAGAAGGCGGTGGAGCTTGTCAGAAGCCCTCTGATAGACCTCTCTCTGTCTTCGGGGATGCCCCAGAAAGCTTCTCGCGAGGCCTCCCGCCTCCTGAGCCTCCTGCGATGGCCCGCCCCCTCTGCCTTCTCCCGTGGGCGCTCGGCCCTGGCACTGGCTGCAGCTCCGGCCTCGGCTGCCGGCTCCGGCCCCGGCTCCGCCTCCGACGACTGCTCCGACGACGGCTTTGGCTCCAGCTCCGACGACGGGCTTCCAGAGGCGGCGGAGGCTCCGGTAGTCACGCCTGCGGCTCTGGAGGCTTCCCCCGGGGGGCTCCAGGCCACTGCGATCGTCTGGGGCATTTGGCTCCGGGCGCTCCCAGGCAGCTTTTCGAGAGAGCTGAGGCCCCCACCCTCCTCCTCCTCCTCCTCCTCCTCCTTCTTCCTCCTCCCCCTCCTCCCTCCTCCTCCTCCTCCTCCTCCTCCTCCTCTTCCTCCTCCTCCTTCTCCTCCTCCTCCTCCCTCCTCCTCCCTCCTCCTCCTTCGGCCGTCCAGTCTTCGGGTCGTGCCTCGGGTCTCCGGCGGCCGCTCGGGACGATCCGGGCATGCCCAGAATGTGCTTGGCGAGGCGCAGCCGTTGGAGTCCTGGGCATCCTGCGGCGGGAGAGCCGCCGAGAAGCAAGGAAAACGCTCGACAGCCTCGAACCTCGAACCTCTCCCCCTGGCCCCCCACTCTTCCCCTGCCCCCGCTCTTGGGCGCTCCCGAGCATCCCGCAACGCGGCGCGGGGCACTGCAGAGGCCTTCGCGCAGGACGCACTGGCGAGCGAGCTCGCCGAGGCGCTCGTGGAGGGCGGCTATGCTGGCCGGTGTGCCGCGGCCGCGCTGCTCGCGCTGGCACAGGCGCTGGTGCACGCAGAGGTCCCTGGCGACGGCTCGCGCGCCAGCACGGCGGTGGCGCTGCTGCAGGCGCTCACGGCCTCCCAAACGGGGTCCGACCAGATGGGGTCGGAGGACTGCGCCGCATCTCGACGGCGAAGTCCGAGAATTGCCCCCGCCTCCCATCGACTCAGGAGAGCCGGTGGTTGGTGGGGGTGGGGTTCGGATGTCGCCACCTGGCATCGGCGATGCTCGAAGAACGATGAGTTGCATAAGTGTACGTGCAGAAGCTTTCGGAGCTCCGCGCGCGTATTTCCTGGATCGGCTCTGGGGCTCCCCCCCTGGTGCTGCCCCTGGCGCGCGGAGCGCGCCAAGCAGGGGATTCCAGCGCAGGATCCAAGAAATCCGCGCGGACCTTCAGCAGTTTGCGTTCATGAATTTTGTTGCTCAAGCCAGGGCCTCTCAAACGGGGTCCGAGCAGATGGGGTCGGAGGACTGTGCCGCATCGGCGATGCGGCTCCAGGCAGGCTGGTATCATGACAAACATGAATGCGTTCTTTTGGATCCGCCCTCATTGGTGCCGTTGCCGGGTCCTAGGACCGCCAACAAAACCACTCAGGATGAGAAGGCGGCCCAGGAAAAAGGCCTGGACTTCTGGGGACCCCGTTTTGAAACAAAGAAGACATCGGATGCTCGGGTACTGCTCTCCACGCCGACAGCGCCGGTGCATCTCCCACGTGGCCGATGTATCGCCGATGCATCGGCGATGCATTGGCGATGCGGGGCACGATCCTCCTCGGGCTTCATTTTGGAGGCCCCTGAGGCTGCCATGCCGCGGTTTCCTCAGCGGACTTCCCAGCTGTTGTTCCAGGCGGTGCTGAGCCATGAGAAGCATCTCGGCGTGCTGCGCCAGTTCGGCCGCTACCCGCACCGCAACGCGGCGTTGGGGCGCGAGAGCACGCCGAAGGAGCTGGAGTGGCTTGCCAGCCCGGACCTGCCAGGCTGGGCGCGGAGCCAGACTGCCAGGGCGCCCCGCGGCTGAGCCGGCGCCCGCCAGCAGTAGCGGAGGCCTGCTCGCGGGGGAGAGGAGGTGCAAAGCAATCGTGATGTCTTCCTCGCCGGCTTCCTCGCCACTTCTCTCGAGAAGTTGTCACGAAAGTCGGGTCGGACAATAGGGGGGGGGACGGGGAAAGGGGGGGCCTTGACAACTGCTGCACGCAGCCAGTTTCGGCCGCGCCAGTTGGCGCTTTCCTCGATGCGTTGGCGCCCAGGCTCTGGTGTCTGGAGTAGGTGCCCCCCTATGGAGACTCCGGGAAGACCACCAGCGTGCTCTTTTTTCGGCTCTGCCTATGCCCCTCAGAGGTAACGCCAGAGGGGGGATAGACGCAGGGGGGATGCATCGGCCCCCAATGGCACACTGAGCGACGATAGGGGCCTGTGTGCCCACCCGCCAGGGACTGTCCAGACTTGCGACCGAGGTCCTCTCGCCGATCTTCCGTCTGACCCGAGCCGACCGTCCTGGCTTCCAAAGCATGCGGCCACAGAGCAGCAGCCCCAGACTGCCGAGTGCGGCCCCATAGTCAGACGGCGCCCGCAGCGGATGCGAAGGAGTGAGGAGAAGGATGAGGAGCATGATTCGGAGGGGGAGGAGGGAGGAGGGAAGGAGGGCTGGAGGAATGGAGAGAGGAGTCAGGAGGGGGAGTCAGGGGGGATACGTCGAGAGTCACATTGAAGGGGGATGGAGAGAGTAGGGAGGAGTCCAGGAGTGCGGACGCAGGAGGGAGGAGCAGGGAGGAAGGAGGGAGTGGAGGGGAAAGAGAGGTGAGGGGAAGGGAGAGAAGGGACGAGGACTGCCAACTCCGCTACAGGCTCGAAGGGTACCTAAACCCATATTTAGGGATGTGGCGACCATCACAGAACTACGGACGATGAGGAAGAGGAGGAGGAGGAGGAGGAGGAGGAGGAGGAGGAGGAGGAGGAGGAGGAGGAGGAGGAGGAGGAGGAGGAGATGATGATGATGATGATGATGATGATGATGATGATGATGATGATGATGATGATGATGATGATGATGATGATGATGATGATGATGATGATGATGATGATGATGATGATGATGATGATGATGATGATGATGATGATGATGATGCTGATGATGATGATGATGATGATGATGATGATGATGATGATGCTGATGATGATGATGATGATGATGATGATGGCGACGACGACGAGGATGATGATGCTGATGATGATGATGCTGATGCTGATGAGGATGAGGATGGTGATGATGCTGATGATCATGATGCTGATGCTGATGACGATGATGATTGTGATGATGACGACGACGAGGATGATGATGATGATGATGATGATGATGGTGGTGGTGGTGATGATGATGGTGATGCTACTGCTGCTGATGGTGGTGGTGATGATGATGATGTTGGGGATGCTGATGATGCTGCTGCTGATGAGGAGGAGGAGGACGACGATGGTGATGATGATGATGAGGAGGAGGAGGAGATGATGATGATGATGATGATGATGATGATGATGATGATGATGATGATGATGATGATGATGATGATGATGATGATGATGATGATGATGATGATGATGATGATGATGATGATGATGATGATGATGATGATGATGATGATGCTGATGATGACGATGATGATGATGATGCTGATGATGATGCTGATGATGATGATGATGATGATGATGATGATGATGCTGATGATGCTGATGATGATGATGATGATGCTGATGCTGATGATGATATGATGCTGCTGAGATGATGATGATGATGATGATGATGATGATGATGATGATGATGATGATGCTGATGATGATGATGATGCTGATGATGAGATGATGCTGATGATGATGAGATGCTGATGATGATGATGATGATGATGATGATGATGATGATGATGATGATGATGATGATGATGAGATGATGATGATGATGATGATGATGATGATGATGATGATGATGATGATGATGATGATGATGATGATGATGATGATGATGATGATGAGGAGGAGGAGGAGGAGGAGGAGGAGGAGGAGGAGGAGGACAGGGAGGATTCGGATTCGGAACGCTTGCGTAGCAAGATCAAGAGAAGAATTTGGGATGCTGGCAGAACTCAGATAAAGAAGTCCATGAAGCAGCACGACCTGGTTCCATAGTGAATACCTCCAGAAATGAGTGGCACACTCGGCAAACGAAATACCAGGCTCAACTGAAATGAACTCCACTCGATTTGGGCCTCTTTGCGAAAGTAACTGGCCAACCTCCAACCAATCATGAAGATCGCGTCGCCCACAGACAGCCTCGCAGAACGGCACCGCAGCCAAGAATGCCAGCCAAAAAGTTCATTCCTTCAAACGAGCATGCTGCACCCAAATTGAAATAGTGAATTGAAATAGCTCCCAGAACCACGCTCCAGCGAAAAAGCCGCCGCCTGAGTGGGCTCGAAGCCCCCGTGCCCCCAGGTTGCGGACGGGATGCCGATGAAGATGTCCAAGGAGAGAACCACGACGAACACAGCCGCGCACCGCCGCCCGAGTGGGACTTAGATGGGCTCGAAGCCCCCGTGCCCTTCGGTGCGGACGGGATGCCGAGGAAGATGTTCGGGAAAGTGCGAACATTGAAATACAATACTGCGGAAACGTAGAATTTGCCCATTTTTGCCATCCCTCACCGAGAACAACTGTCTTAAGAACGGTTCTGTGGTGGGAGCCCCCCAAGCGCCACGAGAAGGCAATGGGCTGGGTGTTCGATGGCTAGCTCGAGCCCAAATGGGTACGATGCCTAGGGCCACCCGTGCTGGAGGGGAGGATCGGGAGGAGGAGGAGGAGGAGGAGGAGGAGGAGGAGGAGGAAAGGGAGGAGAGAGGATGAGGAAGGAAGAGGCATAAGCAGGAGACGGAGGATGAGGAGGAGGACGATACGAATAAACATAATATTGGTACTAATGCTAGTAGTATGGAGCACCATAAAAACAAGACGTATGAACATAAGACCCCTGACGTGTCGCAGCTTCGTTCACCTGCAGACTGCCCAGGACACTTCATTTTTCATCCTGGCACGGGGCAGGGATCGCCGTCTAAGCCTTGGGAATGCATCCTCGGAGCCAGCAGGCGGGGCCGGCTTCGAACTGGGCCAGCGCCTGGGGTGCCAGCTCGTCGGGCCTGGCGAACGCCTGCGCTCCAACGTTCTTGCTGCAAGCCCTGCTGCGGTGCACGGGAGTCTCGATCGCCTCTTTGCACCTGGGCCATATTTGGCTGAGCTGAAGCTTGGTGTGCGCAGCCGCCCGTCGTTCGCGAGGCCAAGGACCACTTGCGGCCATAGCGGCCAACGCCCCTGCCAGTCTCCTGCCCCTAGGTGCTTGAGGCAACTAACGCAGCATCCGTCTCAACGAATAACTGTCGGCACCGTGCTCCAGCCCAGTCCCGCAGTAATGCTTCGCAGCCTGCTGCCAATGCCTGCTACAAGACGATTGGCTGACATCAGCGAAAGATCATGTTAAGCTGTTGAGTGCCATCTGATCGTGATACTCTTCTTCGGGAAACTGCAGAGATTTACCAGTTGAAATTTGCCAAGACGTATGAGCGGTGGATCTCCATCCTCGTTCGAGCAGCGTGATGACGGTGGCAGACATGGGGCCTCGCGCCCATCTGGACCTTCGACTTAGCTCCGCAGCTTCCAGCTTCTGCAGCACAGATGTAAGGCGTGATGTGACTTTATATCGTTTGGGTGCCCGAGCAAATCTCACCACCTTTCAATGGAGCTTAGTGTGCTTAAGTCCTCTCGTGTCACGCGTGCCTCTGGCATGCCTGCGCCCTTGATCGATGCCGAGAAAGCTGGACTGCAACGCAGCCTGGGCAGCACATTCGCTCTTGCGGATCCTCCTGCCCATTTCCTTGGCATCCTGGTGGCGGGAGCACGCGACAACCGATTTGTACGCGATAGAAATATTCATTTGGCTCAATTCTTCTGCCGTGTCTGCAACGCACGTGGAAAGTTGATCGACAATCGCAAACCTTGATCCTGCCACCGTTTGCGAAAGATCATCTAGCCGGACTCGGTGAGAGACGCTCGAACGTTTGCGATTTATGGAAGGCATCACGGACTGCATCATACACTTGGCACCCCCCCCTGAGTCCTTGGATGCTGCTGCACGTGGCAAGGAAAGGGTCGCTGACAGCTCCCATCTGCTCCAGAACTCCTGGGCGCCATACGTTGAGGCAATTCCAAGAATAGACGGACAGGAAGGCATCCAAGGGCCAATGCCTTGCCAACCAACAATTCCAATTTCATATTGTCGTAGAAACCCTGGATATCGGCAAGTCCGTGGACATAGGGCATGCCCAACGTGCCCGCTACAGTCAACCCGCATAGGAAGGATGGGCAACCTTCCCAAGGGTACCCCTGCATCCTAGCCTCCTCGGTCCATCCTTGGCCACTTTCGTTGGCCGCGCCTCGCTCGAGAAGCTTCGAGATGGGCGCCCAAGGCCCTTGCTTCCTTATCGCGCCTCCTTGCTACACGGGTTGGCTGTGCATCCTCGCGACGTGCGTGGTGAGAAGCTTCGCGCGTCGATGCGTTTCCGGCCGCCGCCGCGCCCCGCTCCGTCTCGACCAGGCCGCGCCGTGCGCGGACGCGGCCCTCGCCGAGGAGGGGCCACGGCCTGCCCAACAGCGAAGCCGGGCGGACGATCCGATGCCCGCCCAGTTTCTTCGGGAAGGGTTTCAGGGGGCCCAAGGGCACACAAATGAATCTACTTTTTTGATCTGCGGCCCGCAAGGAAGAGTCCAGAGGGCGTGTCAATCGGGCTGACTGGGGCACAGAGCCAGATAATTCGTGCAACATGCAGAACAAATTGGGGAAAACGGGCAGACGGGCAGCCGCGCGTGGCGACGTTGCGCCAGCACCAGGAAGCCGGGCGCTGAGCAGGGCGACGGAAGGACGGAGGGGGGGGGGGAAAAGCAGGAAGCACCCCGCAAGGAAGAGTCCAGAGGGCGCGCCAATCGGGC